TCACAGTGTGAAGTTCTAGTGCACAGCCGCTAGGCCCAAGCACTGTGACATTACCATTCCTACAAGGCACAGACACCCGTCAACACTGGGTATTTCGATGGTGTCTGTGATAGAGGAAAGAGAAACAGAGACATTGTTGATAAGGCGAGCATCAGTGGGTTGGAGGAGGCCTTTTTACAGAAACTGTTACTTTGGCCTGAATGGGTCTTTAAAAGGAGAACTATGGGGTAAGTGTTTTCCCCATAGTTCTCCTAAGGGTCACGGGAGGAGATAAACTAGCGTCCTCCCGTGACCCTAAGCTCAGTATACTGAGAGTTACAGCTCGCGGTATACTGAGACCACCGCTGCCGGGACGGATCCCGACATTAGTGTCAAGATCCATCCAGCTGCGTGAGGGACAGCTGGCTCTGCCTATCTAGAGGCAGAGCCAGCTGTACACGCCTCTTCCTTCGTCCGCTCCACCAGTCAGCGCTGGAGGATCGCAGAGGGGAGGGGGGAATCCCTGCAGGGAGCTGTGACAGTCACGGCTCTCTGCAGGGATAGATCGAGAAGTGAGCGAGCGACGTTATGTGTTCGATCACTTCCCGATCAATAGAGCCGACCTGTGATAGTTTCAGAAAAATCCCATCTGAACCTTTTTCTTTTCCGATGCAGCACACCATGATGAACAGATGGATGCTATTGGTGCATTGTGGTACACTAAGGCCCGGTTCCCACCTGGGCGTTTTTCCGTGCTTTCGTACTCGCGGAAAAACGCTCAAGCAGGGAAATGCCATTATTTTCAATGTGCATGGTTCCCATCTGGGCGTTTTTCCACGAGTACGAACGCGTGGGAAACCGCCCTACGCACAAAGAAGTACATGTACTTCATTGGGGCTTTTTGGTCCGGTGTTTCCATTGGAAAACAGCCAAAAAGCCCTCGGAAACGCACGCTTGTCGCGCTGTTTTTTTTACCGCGAATCACAGTATGTTGAGCTAACACATGTGGTAGCATGTGACCACAACACATGTCTGAAGCCCGCCTGAAAGTTTTTATCACACGTTACGTTACTTGAAGGGAGCCATGGCTGTCATCCATGCTGGACTCCAAACCTTTCTTCCTCTTTATTCCCATTTAATTTGGGTGGGGCGGGATTAGTAGTGTACAGAACAGAGTTAACACTGTTTGTACTTAGTTTAGCTCACAGGAAGTGATAAAGGAAATTGCATTTCTGATAACAAGTATTTTTGGTACTTGCTGAAAAGGAAAACAGAATGCATCTACCACATCTATGAACTAGTGAGGTATAATGCATTACTTTTTTTTTCTTGGGTTTAGATATCCTTTAAAGCATTGGTTCTCAACCTGTGTAACCTCAGGACCCACATTTGTCTTTGGTCATTAAGTTGCGACCCAAGCTGCACTTGAAATGGAACACACAGCATTGTGGTACCGCGCGTTACTGTAGGTGGGAGGTGTGTTTGGGGTGCCATTCAAATGAATGGCAACATAACACACCTCCCACACCAGAATGCATAGCAGTTGATTGCATGGTACAGTGCGTTAACCACACAGGACTGTTCGATTAACACATTGAACTAGTGTGAACAGGTCGTCAAAAACACTGACAGGCACTCACAACCACGGACACAATCTCACACAATCACAATCTCACACACACTCCCAAAAAAATTCATCCATATGTGCATTGCTTGTACGGCTCCCTTGCTCACCCTGTAGAGATCAGGGGTGTGGACATTTTGGAAAAAACTACTTGTCCTAATACACAAAAAAATAGTTTTAAACGTTTAAAACTAGGGATGCACCAATACCGTTTTTTGGGTATCGAGTACCGATATTTTGCTTTCAGTACTCACCGAGTATTGGTGCTTCCGTTGGCATGGAGCCAGCTTCCCGGGCAATCAGGAAGCCGGGCAGCGGTAATGAGATGCTACCCAGCTTCCTGACTGCCAGGGAACCGACTCCATGTTTGGCTGGCTTGATTGTGAATGGCTGGGAAGCCGGTTTCCTGGCCAATCAGGAATGTAATGACCTGATTGGCCGGGAAGATGGCTCGATGCTGATTGGCAGCCAATCAGGAAACTGGGAGGCGGGTCATTAGTCACTGCCCCGCTTCCTGATTGCACAGGAAGCTGGCTCCATGTTCCCCTACGGCACTGCCGGTGGGAGGAAACCTTCCTCTGACCGGAAGTTCCAGTATTGGGGAAGGTATCTGAGCATTTGGGCGAGTAAAAGTACTTGCCCAAATACTCCGTATCTGTGCATCCCTAATCAGAACTGTATTTGACTGTGCTAAATAGCGCTTCTCATTGGTCAGCATGGTCTCCTGACCATGCTGACCAATAAGTGCTTGCAATTTGCGAGCAAAATTCAAAATGCATAGGGCAGGAATGTGCTGGACAGTATGGGGTATGGACACCTGTACTGGCAGAGGGTAAGGACTGTTTGCAGAAAGTTAAGTATACCTGGCAGGTGGGGGGGTGGAAGAGACCGGGCCAGATTTGATCGGGTAATTCCATTTTCCCGTATTACCTGGGAAAGTGAACTTACCTTTTAATGCACATTGTGTGTGACAGAGTTTTGCTGCCCGGCTACCACAATATAGCACACAGTAAAATGGTGGCAGGACTCAACACACACACAAATCGAGACAGGTGGCGCTGTGATTACAGCGCCACGGTCTCAGTGATAGCGCAGAGCAGACGAAGAACGGGAGTTCTTCGTCTGCTCTGCGGGCTCTATGGTGAGCTCCCGTGCCGTGGTAACGGGTCCACCAGAGGAGCGGGGGACCCCCGAAAACCACGGCGCGGGTGGGCGGACAGGATCGCCGATTCTCGCTTCATACAAGCGATATGATTAGATCACTAGTATGAAAATGAGCAGCGGATCCACAATATACATTTAGCTCTGCTTGTCTGGAGCAGGGCTAAATGTATTAAAAAAACTACTCACCCGGCGCCCAAAACTGCCTGTCCCATAGGAATTCCACACCCCTGGGAGATGCTGGGAGACAGAACGTGACGTCACTCCAGTCCAGGCACCTCTACAGGACATGAGGAAGCTGCAAGCAATGCATGGATGGATGGATGGAGGTCCATCGCAGCCACAGCTCCAGCCCACTCCACCTCAAGCTGACACTCGGTGCTGAGCAGCATATGAATGGCTGCTTGGCGCGAGAACTGACTGTGTTGCGCTAGGGGGAGGCTGAGAAACTTCTCACCTAAAAAAGTGGAAGGAACGCAGTGAACATATGGTTGCGACCTACTTTTGGGTCACGACCCACCAGTTGAGAACTAAGGCTTTAAAGTGAAATCAATCAGCCTAAGACCTCGGTTTGATGACAGTAAACATGGGAGGGGACAACAAACAGAGGATGGATATCACCTGACATATCTAGTTATGTGTATACACTAAACCAGTATAAACAGCTCATGAGCCAACAAAGTGACATTGGGCATTTTTAACACCTATGTATGACAGCAGCACTGTCCGCACATAAAAGCTCTGCATAGGCCTAGTTATTGGAAAAAGGAAGTCAAGGCTGATGCACCCGGTCTGTTTCAGAAAGGAAAAAAACAATTCATTGTACAATGTTGTCAGATACAAGTTTCCAGCACATGAAAGCAGAAGTTACCTCAGACATGATTTTCCGAGGCACACATGGTCTCTGTGACGATGGTGTTTTGACCTTCAGGAGTCCAAAAGGATCAAAGCTCCACTCACTTTTGGGTGATCATTTGCCCAAATGTACTTGGTGGACTAGGATAGAATGGACTTCTATAGCATGGTATGGCTCTTTTGCACTACCTACAAAGACTTTACATACCATTAAAGAGCTTAAGTATTTCTATCCATCTCTGTTCAGCTGGCCAGAAATTCTATTCAGATACCAACCACTATGTAGACATAGAAAACAATTATATAGACCAGAGAAGGACAAATCACAGGAGCCAGGTCACCAATGCTCCTTACTATTGACAGCTGACTCTTAACGTGTTTGGTTTTCGCTAGTTGTCAATGGAACTGGCTCCTGGGTTGGACAGACTGGCTCCTAAATACCATCTACTCCTGAGATATATGGCCCAATCTTCTCAAGTGACATGCCTGATCCAAGCATCACTTGTCACTCAATGTCCCCATGGGGATGAGAATCTTGCTTTTGGATATAGAAAATTATTACTACAAAGAAAATCTCTAAACCGGGTATCAATCATTTCCTTTGACAACTATTTCTCCATGTGTGTACCCCAACATCAGTAAAAGAATTAGGGGGTCACAGTGCAGCATTTTAGGACAGGAAACTAACTCACCGTTCACCGATCTTGAGACATCTGCCCCTATACAGACATCTTTTTCGTCAATTTGTAGTTTGTCTGCTGTCACTTTTCCTATATTATAAAAGGGCTAACATACTTCCTGACCATTCAGGGCAAAGGGACAGGTTCTCTTGTAAGAAAACCTTACCACCTACCGATACCCAGCCACCTTCCCTACACTTCTTCCCCCGCTCCATGAGCCGGGAGTCCAAACCCTATGTGAGCAGTGGGTTGGATAGTGTCAGTGCTTACACAGGGTTAACTTATTTCTCATCATGTGACAGTATTCAGGCATGGTAATTGGCTGCCTTGTGGGAAGAGATCACCAGCACCCCCACACTTGCAATGTGCTGGGTATTTACTAAGACACATGGGGGAACATGTGGGTTTTCTTACAAGAGAACCTGTCGCTTTGCCCAGAATAAGCAAAGTAACTGGGCCACTCTAAATATGGGGGGTTTCTGTGACTTCCCAATGACAATCACTTGGTCACTGGACGCCTCTGATCACTATAACAGCCTCCTAGTAAAATACAATGCCATTTATAACCGCACAAAGTAATGACAATCACTTTCCCTAGAACAGGTTACACTCCAGGTATGTGAATGTATCTGTCATTGGCTAGAAGTCACACGTATGCGGGTCACTAGAAGTGTGATAAAGTGAACACAAACTAAACGTACCCTCTGTTTGGTCCCTTAGGGATTAACCACGGCAGCACACCGCCCACAAAGCCCCAGAAGACGGTCATGACGATGACGGGGATGAGCAGCCCAGGGTACGCCATGATGAAGTCAGTCCCGAACTCGAACACCTCCGTCCCTCTACGGACACTGAGCAGAGTGCGAACTGCGAACACAGTCATGTGACCTCGCCTAAGCATCACGTGAGGACACGCCCTCCTCTTTCATGTAGGAAGTGAGACTGAGCATGGCACTAGAGTTGTGCTCAATGCTAGGTGACCGCCATTTTACCGGAGACAAACATTCGACGTATTTACATCCTTAACTGCTGCCTAGAACTAATTCCAAATGTTTTTTTCATATTTTGTAAGTTTATATTCGGAATCGTTCCCTGTTTGGATAATTATTATCATTGATCAACTCTGCAGTTACTTTTGAATTGAATTCCTTTTGTTCGTTCTGAGAGGGGGGCTAATGTATAGAGGGGGGCAATCTATAGAGAGAGGTATTATTATTTGTAGCCTAATGTTGTATAAAGTACTGTTGCAGCAATGCACAATGGCACCCTCTATAGAGGACTACAAATCTCAGCAGTACTTTATACAGAAATGCTATTGTTATATAAAGTATTGCTGGGATGTGTAGTCCTCTATAGCCTGTGGCATTCTGCATTGCTGTAAATGTTAGGGTTGCACCGATATATCGACCGCCAAAAGATATCTTGTATGCAGACCGTGTAGCTGCTCCTGCAAGTCGGGCCGTGTGCCCGACTTGTCAGCTAGCAAGAGACCGCTGCCAAACAGTGAAGCTGTACGGCAGCAGCCGATTTAAAGAGGAATCAGCGGGGGGGCACACAGGGGGGCAAGGAATAAGCTAGGGGGGGCAATTGCCCCCCTGTAGAGACGCCTATGTATGTAATAATAATAATATCGGCCGGAAATGGCACTTTTGGCTAAATGCCAAAAGTGCAATTTTTCTGCTGATACAGCAGCACATCCCTGGTTTCTTTCCTCCCCGCTGGGCGCTGCTCTGTGTCCCAGCGGGGAGGAGAGAAAGTGACAGCCGGCCAGGCGCTGCGGGAGGAGAGCGCTGTGTTTGTGTTTTTCCTTTGTTCCTTACGTCCGCCACTGGTGGGAGGAAATGTACAGGCACCATCATTTATATATTTAGCATTATCTCTAGATCGGCATCACAGTTTAGAAACTAGAAGCTGACCATGACTAATAGATGCTGCAAAGATGGCTCCGTCCTCATCAAGAGAAAATTTAGATGAAGGTATGGGCAGTGTGAGTACTCTGAACTCTGTAACGGTAATGAGTACCTGTAAATGTTACACTTACACGTTACTTAGCATGCTGCAGCAAACTTGTAAGGCCTTGTTCACACCAAGCGCATTCCAGGAGCAGCGGAGGTACAGACCGGATCAAAACTGCATCCAATGTATTCCAATGGTATTTTGGGCTCTAGTTCACACCACAACGTTCAGTTCCAGAGCATGTAAAAAAACTGCAACAAGCCCTATTTTACCTGCTCTGGAACGCATGCAAACTCATCAAAAACACATGCAAACGCCCTGGAACGCACTGAAAGCCCATTTTAAACTAAAATAAATTATTTTATTTTTTTACCAAAAACAGCCGGGAACGCATCAAAAACCCCACAACCCACTGCACTGCGTGTGCAGAAACTTTGGTGTGAACAAGCCCTAACGTAGATCCAATGCTAGTCCCACCTTAAAGCGAACCTTTACACTCAAAAATCAAATTCTACCAATGCATTCCTCTATGTATGATGATTAATTATAACATAGACATGTCAGGTGTAAAATGATGTGATTCTGAAATACTTACGCTTGTAGAGATTTCACTTCCTGCTTTGAAAGGGCAAAAAAACTTCAGTTTGCCAAAGGAATACACACTTTGCCTTGTCATCAGCAGAGCATTGCTGGGAAATCTCATCTGTAATCTCATGAGATCTCAGGTAAAGGCATTTTCCTCCCCTGAGATGATGTGCATGGTCACATGGCCTAGCCACATGTCTAATCACATGTGCCAGAAATCCAGGAAGTAAAAGGAGAGCTATTAATCTGCAATTAGTAAACATGGCCACTGTCAGAAGACTTGGGAAAGAAAAACAAAATAGGTATGCAAAGAATACAACGCCTGCAGTTATCTAGATGTATGTGTTTGTAGATTGTCATCACTAAACATTTCTAAAAGTGTGTTTGTTGTTATTTTAAAGATATGGGCAAAGGTCCGCTTTAAGGGATGTAGTCTGTTTTAATATGAGCATGATGGAATGGTTCTTACAAAAACAGAGATCAACTGAGTGACTCAGAAAAGGACTACTGACCCCTTTTATTTGTTCTGAGAGATGACCCCCGACTTCTAACTCTTTGAATGGCTTCTTCTAGAGGCGCTCTAAACTGTTTTTTGCCATTATAAAAGAACAGAGCAGAGTTCTTGCTTCAGTGAAGAATTCGCAAACAGTTGCTGTCCAGTGTCTTATCCATATGTCCAATTTAGCTATGATAGTGTTACCGGTCATCCATTCTGATAGCCTAACCAAATCCACAGAAGACTACTAAAAATAGTTCTACTTATGGTGTTACTATTAAGGCAGACTCCACTCCTAATTTATTGGCTTTCTCCACATTTGCGAGCCGAGTCTACCATAGAAGGGAGTATCCAACATCAATGCATCTGATACAATTTGGAAAATCCATTTTGGAGGCCACGCCTGGGAAACTTTTCCCATTCTTCCTCAGTAAGTTATTTGCATTCTTCCATTAGAGAAAACAGGTCCATTTTTTTGAGATTGGGAAAATATTTCCCATTGCATTGCTTCTCTAACTGCCTCAATAATAGGAGCCAAAGCCAAGCAAATGTGGGGCAGATTCCTCTCCCTCTGTTCCAGAAGACAGGTCCTGCTCTTCTAGGACCTGATCAGAAAGTCTTTTATGAAATTCTTGCAGCTCAGCCATTCTACTCCTCTTTACTGCATATGATGTACAAACTTTGGCATGACTTCTACTAGGGATGCACTGATACCGTTTTTTTGGTATTGAGTGCAAGTACAGATGTTTTTTTTAAGGTACTCGCCGATACCGAATACCGAAACCAGAAGTCCCATTAAGGAAGCCAGACGGCATGTAATGACTCGCCTCCTGGCTTCCCAATTAGCAGGGAAGCCATCTCCATGCTTTCTCGTCACCAGGTGACAAGGAAGCATGGAGCCGGCTTTTTGGCAAATCATGAAGCCAGGGGGCGGGTAATGACCTGCCGCCTGGCTTCCTTAATGGCCAGCTTCTCGACCAATCAGGAACCCGGGCGAGTCATTACACGACGCCCAGCTTCCTGATTGGCCGGGATGCTGTCTCCTTGCTTTCTCGTCGAGCATGAAGCCAGCTTTCTGGCCAACCCGGGGGGGGGGGGTAATGACTCGCAGTCCGGCTTCCCGATTGGCCAGTTTCCCGACCAATCAGGAAGCTAGGCAACGAGTCATCACATGCTGCCCGGCTTCCTAAATTGACCGGGAAGCCGGTGATGAGGGAGCATGGAGCCGGCTTTCGGATCAATCAGGAAGCCGGGCAGAGTGTAATGACTCGCTGCCCGGCTTCCTGATAGTGGAAGGTCGGGTATCGGGCTAGACATCGGAGCATTTGACCGAGTACTCACCCAAGTACTCGGTATCGGCACTGATACCGATACTAGTATTGGTATTGGTGCATCCCTACAAGAAAGGATACGTACACACCTATGCTGAGGGTGGGCTTCCGATGACCGCAATGCTGAACGGGCAGTTTGCGCTTGCGCACACCGGCCCGTGCGGCATTTATCTTACGAACATGCCACACACCCGCCGACAATCGTACGATTCACGGCGGGTTTGCGCACATGTTCCTAAGATAAAAGTCGTGCGACCACACAGTAGAAACGGTCGCACGACTTACACACACCTTGCGATAATCGTGCGATCGCGGAATTTCCCGCGATTATCATACGATTATCGCAAGGTGTGTGGGCACCTTTACAGTGGATGCTGCTTTGTTGATTTTTTTTAAGTTTTGTTACCTGCAGAATCAGCTGGTCTTCTGAGCACTGGTCCTGATATCCTGTTTCAGGGTGGCTCCTTTCCCTTGCAGGGTCCTATGGACCCACCCTTGTGTGTGCTAGTAAGCTGTGTATGTCTCTACAAACACAAAAAAGCAGCAAGACAAGACTCCCGACTCTCCACAACTTCTTTCCTCCTACCTTCTCAAAGCTACTAGATAGACAGCTGCTGGAGACCGCTCTTTCCCTTGTGATCCTGTACTGTACAGGAAGTTCAGGGAAGCAGAGCTGATTGGAAACATTATGACTGCAAGTGGGTAAAAATGTAAAGAGATACTTTGCATGGCAATGTATATTTATTTGATCTGGATTTATTATTGAAAAAAAGATTGAGCGTGTAATACTCCTTTAAATATATCTCCAATCAGGTGGCTTTGCCAACCACCATGGGGGAGGGGTCAATTCTGGAGAGAGGCTGAACCAGGGCAGGATGCGGTAGGAGTTTGTAAAGGCAATCCTAGTCTGAGGACAAAACAGAGTTGACCCGTGGTATGCTGTCATGAGGAGTGCCAGGAAAAAAAGTTCCCATATTATATTATCTCTAGTTCTTGCTAGAGGTGCTCCATCTGATACAGGGGTGTGGAATTCCTATATGCCCGGGACAAGCAGAGTTAAATGTACAGCGTGGAGCCGCCACTCGTTTTTATACAAGTGATCTGATCAAATCACTTGTATGAAAGGAGCAGCGGCGATCGTGTCCGCTCTACCCCCCGAGGTTTTCAGGGTCCCCTGCTCTTCTGGGGGACCACGGCACATGAGCTCACCATAGAGCCTGTTCTTCGTCTGCTCTGTGTGATCACTGAGACTGGAGTGCTGTAATCATTGCGCCACCTGTCTAAGCAACTGCACAGAACATCTGTGTTGGAGTGCAGGTTCCATAAAGAGAAGCTATCACATAGGGGATTTTAATCCCCTATGTCAGGGCTCAAAATTTCAAGTCCTGAGTAAAAATTAAAAAAATAAGTGGTAAAATTAAAAATTAAATAAAACCAACCCCACTGCCCTCGCCATCTGCATGCAATAAACGCACGCGTAGGACATTGGCGCCATTCCATTGTGTGCCATATTGTGGTAGCCAGGCAGCAGAACTCTCCTACACGCACAATGTGCAATAAAGTAATACGGGAAAATGGAATTACCCGATCAAATCTGGCCCCGTCTCTCCCAACCCACCCCCCGGCTATACTTACCTTTCAGCGAACATTCCTTACCCTCCGCCAGTACAGGTGTACTACTATGTGTACCCCGTACTGCTGTCCAACGCAGTCCTGCCCTATGCATTTTGAATTTCAACTGCAAATTGCAAGCACTCATTGGAACAATGAGAAGCGCTATTTAGCACAGTCAAATACAGTTTTGATTAGGGATGCACAGATACGGAGTATTTGTACTCTCCCAAATGCTCTGATACTAGAGGTGCACTGAAATGGACATTTCAAAACCGAAACGAAACCGAAATAAAAAAGATTGTCAGGCCGAAACCGAATTTTTTTTTATTTTAATTTTTTCAATTTTTTTTAATACTTTATTTTTATTTATATTTAATAAACTTTTAAATTTTTTTAATTTTATTTTTATTTAATATTACAAAGAATGCATTAAAGCAAAAAACACCCAGCCCTTACTACATACTACTACACTGGACAAAGCTCTAGGGACAAAATTGAAGTGAAATGGTTTGATACAGTAATGAAATCATAACAGATTACAATGTATTGTGTGTATTTCGTGTATATTGCATGTTTTCACTTTTGAATTTCCTGCCGCTCCGCCCCTCGCTGTGACGCAGAAAACAAAACTAAAAGTTGGATGCCGGCATCAGCCGGCCAAGTACAGCATAGGACACCACGGCTCGTAGGGACAAGTGACACTTTTGGGTAATCCCGAGTGTGGCTCGGGGTTACCGCTATTGGTACTGAAAATTAACCCCGAGCCACACTCGGGAATACCGCCAGGGAGGTTAATAGGGAGGGAGGTCCTACTGAGATTGACATATGATATCTATGCTACTAGTAGTGAAGGGGTTCAGGTTCACCGCTACCAAGGTCTCAAGGCAGATCCTGAGACTTTGAAATTTGCAGTCCCGGCGAATGAATGTACAGATTTGGCAAGATTTTTTTTTCCTCTTTACACCATAATGTACTGCATGGTCTCTCAACCATGGTCATTAGGCTTAGAAGGGCCAGGCCAGTAAAGCAGGTTTTGGATACGTCAGCTCCCTCACAGAGCAGGTATAGTGTCGGGCAGGGGCGCAACTAGAATCACAGGGCCCCATAGCAAAAGTTTGTATGGGGCCCCATGATTGCTAGTCATGCCACTTGCAGAGCCCACCTTAGACTCTCTATAGTGGGCTCTGCAGGGTCTGAGATATCTTACCTGTCAAGCCTCTGTGGTCCCCGGGCCCCGCCTCCTCTGCTATCGACGGGCCCCGCCTTCTCTTACATCACTCGCCCCACCTGCTCTTAGGTCCCTGGCCAGTGATGTAAGAGGAGGCAGGCCCCGCCTCCTCCATTCCAAACACCGCCCTCATCTGCAGCAGCGGCTGGCTGTCACCGACACAGCTCAGCAGCGACTATGAGGGGAAATGCGCCGTGGCCGCTGCTGAGCTGTGTCTGACAGCCAGCACCCCCACATGCCATAGCGACCCAGGCAGCCCTGGCCAGGCCCCCCTGTGCCCAGGCCCCATAGCGGCCGCCTGGGTCGCTATGGCGATTGTTACGCCACTGGTGTCGGGGTATTGGAAGTTGCTTTAAGCAAAAGCTGTCAAACTGCATAGGTTGAGATTTGGGTGAGTTATGAGATTGTACTTTAATGCTAGTTGCAAGCTCTTTGGCAATTGATCCGCTTGCTGCCTTTGTTGCTTTTTTTTTTTTTACTGGGGGCTTTTTGTATTTAAACTTATTTATTGACTTGAGGCCAGAAAGCAGTTTTAGCTGCTGTCCATCCTGAAAAATTTTTTTTTTTTACTGCAACGCTTTAATTTGCCTTCAGGGGGGTGGTATTTTGGGGGTTTTCATTTATTTGGGGTTTTTATTGTATGTTGATAGGGCTTCCTTTTTTTTTAAATGGTGGTGCTCAAAGAGCAGAATTCATTGTTACTGACCACCTATTCTTGGAGCTGCCTTTCAGTAGCACGCCTGCTACTGAATCATTTGAAAGAAAACAGCATACCCCCCCATCCTCATAGTAGATTATGTCATGCAGCAGTAAGAACTATTTTCTGTCCTAAAGCTCCCAATTATACACTGCTGTATCCTCTGTAGTAATTTATGTATTAAACATAAAAAATAAACACTAGCCAATACTCAGAGCTGGCAGAGGACATTGCAGCTGTCACACACCAGCTTTATATGCCAAGAGCTGAGCAAGCGTCTGATCGCTCAGCTCATGGCTTCTCCATGTAGAGAGCAGTGACTCTCAGTCACCACTCCCTGCAGGGATTCCCCCCTCCCCTTATCTGCTACTCCAGCACTCACTGAAGGGACAGAGAGGGGAGGCAACAGTCACAACTTGCTTTGGCTTTAGAGAATAACCCGCTAAATACAGACTTTGGGCTACAGGAGTACACTGTGACCCAAAAGTGTGTAGGACCTTTTTGAAAATTCTCCCTCATTAAAATTCTCCTGCAGCTAGCCAACTTCACACTGCTGTATCTTCTACAGTCTCTTATTTCCTAATGGGAGTTAGAAATTGGGCAGTGACCAGGCAGTTTTGCATCAGTGAGAACATGGACATACTTAGTGAACCACTGGCATATGTTATATGAATTTAGTTTATTACATTTTTTTTTTCCTTTTACTGCTGAAAAGCTCTTATGCGATAGTACACTTTACATCCTTGGTTTTCAACTGGTGGGTCGTGACTCAAAAGTGGGTCACAACCTTCGTATTCAGTAGGTCCCCGCATGCATTCCACTTTTCTAGGTCAGAGGCTCCCAAGCTTACTTTAGCGCAGCACTGTCAGTTCTCGCGCCGAGCAGCCATTCAAAATATGCTGCCTGGTGCCGAGTGTCAGCTTGAGGTGGGGTGGCTGCGAGGAAGCTCTATCCATACATTCATTGCTCACAGCTCCCTTGCGTGTCCTGTAGAGGTGCCTGGACCGGTGTGATGTAACATTCTGGCTCCCGGCACCTCTACAGGGTACGCAAGGGAGCTATACAACTGGATGCACATATGGATGGAGTTCCATCACACCACATCAGCCCACACTGGACCCCAGGCTGAGTATCCATTCCAGTTCTTGTAAGGTGGGGAGACAGGGTGGATTTAAAAAAAAATGTTTTGGGTTTTTTGGAGTGCATATGTGTGAGAATGTCTGAGTCTGTCAGTGTTTTTGAGGGCCCATTCACACTAGTACAGTGCGTTAATCGCAGTCCTGTGCGATTAACGCACTGTACCACACAGTTGCACCGTTCTGGTGTGAGAGGTGCATTACATCACCATTCATTTGATGCATCTCTCACCCACTGTCACTTTGTCATGCGTGGGCAAGGTTACAGTGTGCTAAAGATATCACTGGTACACACCTGCTCAGCTTTGTGTATTCTTTACAAAGCACCAAAGAACGTGGATCCGGTCTAGAATACTACTCAAGAAATCATATTTTCTACATACCAGTGGAAAGGTTGAAAAGGGTTTGGGGGCCATTAAATGCTTGAACTGAATTTAAAGGGTTATTAAACCCTCCATTTTCTTTGCATATATCTACTGCTAGCAAGCAGATATATACAAAAAAAACCCCCTCTTTAAAAGCAGTTTAAACTTACCTGTCTTCGCTGCGTGTTCCCGTCCGAAAATTTTCGGGCGGGCGCATGCGCAGTTCAGATTTTCGGCCGGGAAATGAGGAGAGACGCAAGGTAAGTCTAAGGACAGCGTGCACCCGCATGCAGAGACCGTGGGACAGGAAGTGCCAGCAAGGAGAGAGGAGTCCGTGCTGGATCGAAGACCAGCAGCAGCGCCGGAGGGACAGATGAAAACGACAGGAAAGAATATCGGATTAAGAAATATTATTTAAGGTAAGTGCTAACATTAACACTGGGGGAGGGCAAAATATTTTTGACTTTAATGTCACTTTAAGGTGCGCAACCAGCAAGTTGGTCAGCGTGCTTTAAGTAGAAAGGATTTTAAACCCTTATTTCATAGCCGAAACTCAACTTCCTAAAATGTATCAGTAATTGGTTTAGTTTTTAGAACAGGTTACAATACTATTTTGAAGAAAGGGAAGCCACAATTTGTAGAAACTGAACAGTTTTTGTTTTTATTGATAAAGTTATTCTTGCATCTTCTCAATGGTTTCCTCCTTGTATTTGCCCTTCTCTTTGCCAACTTGGCGAGACTTGGCCTTGCGTTCCAAAATCTTCTTGCGATCCTTGTCGAGCTTTAGCCTGGTGATCACCACCTAGGTGAAAGTAAAGAGGTTACTAAGCATGTAATCAGGAGACCTGATCGGTAAAAATCTCAAGTTTGTATAAATGTTTTTATGGTCCTCCAACTAGGTCACTTCTTGGTTTCAGAACAATGCTTGGACCACAGACCAAGTAGCTTACCCTTTTAAAGCCAGTAATAGGCAATTATATGCATCTTACAACAGAGTACAAATAGAGGTGAATCCCCTCAATAGGGACACCAACAAACACTTAACAGGGCTTGCAGAGCATATATTTCCTTTAGTAAATCAACCCCTATGGAGTTACTGCACCTTCCTTATTACAATCAAGCCCTGAATTTCCACATTGCTACCCCACTGGCTTAATATCAGTCTGTACATTGCACAAATATAAACAGGCACATAGTCAGAAATAGATTTTTAGTTGCAGTTGGTATAACACGTGCTATACTGTTCAGGTGTGAACAAGACACAATAGGTTGTTTGTGACGACAGCACGTTGTTGGGATACAATTGACATTGAAGAAACCTCCACCCCCGGGCTGCATGCAACAAGAGAACATGCCGTGTGACCACAGACAATGCATCAAGTGACCCTTTCCAGCCCAGCTGATTCTGCTTTCTACAACAGTGCACTGAAGGGGTAAATGTGTGCTCATCCAAAGTGATTCACCACAAAGTAAATATCGGGGAATAGTGGGGAAGGGGGTAACAACACCTTGTCTGCATGTTCTGTGCAAAAAGTGAAAGCAGGTTGTTCTATAATTCTGTACTAACTGAATCAAGAAAGACTAAAGCTAGTCCAATCTAGTCTAATATTTATTGGACTGGTCTAAAAATTCTGTGTGTAGTAGAGATTTCCAACCAATGCCCCCTCAGCTGAAAGTCCAAATCATGTGAAGAAACAGAAGCACATACATACAGATGAAGCCACCACAAAACCAAATTATCGCCAAATTCTAGGCATGAACTGATTTCTTTTTTGGTATCGAGTACGACTACCAATACCGGTACTTTATGGCGCCGGCTTCCAGGGCCAGCAGGAAGTCATTACCTGCCGGCCACTTGACTGCCCAGCAAGCCGGCTCCATGCTGTTTGGCCAGGAAACCAGCATCGAGCCAGCTTCCCGGGCAATCAGGAAGCAAGCTCTATGTTCCCTGGCGGCACTGCTAGTCACAGGAAATCTTCCTCTAACCGGAAGTTCTGGTAGTAGGGAAGGTGTTGGAGCATTTGGGTGAGTACGAGAATTAGAACAAACCAATGCATTCAAGTACAGAGAAACGTTACAAAACTCTGTACTGGGAGACATACTAAGGCTGCTCCTTACTCATCAAAATAAGTTTCTTGGCTTTCTTGGCTTGAATCAAGCACGCAGATGGAAACTGCTTTTATGCACACTGATTCCAAGCCAGAAACTCAAATAACTGAAACTAGCATCTTCAGGAAGAAAAGGTCAGCAATGACAGCTTCCATATTGCTTTCAATAGAGGATATCTAACGGCCCGTTCACATTTCTTGGCTTCCTCAGCGCACATTATGTGTGCTGTGGTGCAATTCATTTTAGAGGCACCCCAACGTACCTCCACAACACGCCTGCACTCTAGGGCTGCAACAACTAATCGACATAATCGATTATAGAAAAAGTTGTCAACTTTTTCAATAATCGATTAATCGGCTTCCGATCAGTTGGCCCTGTTCACAGCTCCACACGCTGTGCGCCGCACCTCCTCCCCACCTCATGCCCGCCGCTGCCAGACCCGCTCGCATCCACGCTCCACACGCCGCACCTCCTCCCCGCCTCACATTTCCTGCCCATCCACGATCGGCAAGGCACGCGGGGAGATGTAGTAAGGAGGAGCAGGGGTGGGGGGATGACAGCAGCTGATAGACAGGTCCAATCTCAGAAGCAAGTTGCTGGAAGACTGGTCAGGTAAGCCTGCACTTTCCCACACATGGTGCTCTATAATGTATTGCTGGGATTTGTATTCCTCTATAGCTGATGGTACATTGTGCTGTATATTATACATAGGAATACAAATCCCAGCAATACATTATACACTGTATGTATAATGTATTGCTGGGATTTGTTGTACTCCTCTATAGCTGGTGATATTCTGCATTGCGCTGTATAGAGGACTACAAGTCCCAGCAATAATACATTATACAGCGCAATGCAGAATACCACCAGCTATAGAGGAGTACAACAAATCCCAGCAATAATACATTATAAAGTGGTACAATGCTAAATACCACCAGCTATAGAGGACTACAAAACCCAGCAATAGTACATTATACAGCGCAATGCAGAATGCCGCCAGCTATTATGTACTATTGCTGGGATTTGTTGTATTCCTCTATAGCTGGCGGTATTCTGCATTGTGCTGTATAATGTGCTTTTGCTGGGTTTTGTAGTCCTCTATAGCCGGTGCCATTCTGCATTCATTGCTGTATAATTTTACACTTTCCATTTCACTATATTGCACACCACACTATCTTTTTTTTCTTTTTTACTTCCACCGCTCCAAGCTTGCTCCTGTGATGGACTACAACCTCAATACAAACTAGTCCTATCACAGGAGCCATTTTTTAAACTTTTTATAGTTTATCCGATTAATCGAACGTAATAATCGGCTAACTAATCTTGATCTTGAAAATAATCGTTAGCTGCAGCTCTACTGCACTCCAATGCACAGTATACTGTTTTTCCGTGCTTTGAAGCCTATTCAATCTGAATGAGCTGCAATGCACCGCAAAATGCGAAAACACGTTTGTTGCAGCACACTGCAGTATGGTGTCAATAGGTCCTATATCATTTCTTACACAGCCAGAAATACAATAGCCCGCTTTACTGCAATACAGTCAATGAACACAGTACTCCTGCCAAAATTAAAACATACAGCCAAAATTGGCGGTCGAGTTTTCAAGAATCATTCTGAACGCCATTGATTGACCATCAGTTAACACCAGCCAATTCTTTCCCCCTAAAACCTACTGATGGGAGGCATCCTAAAGCCAGCACTACCCCCATTGCCTTGTGACATGAGCCACCGAGTACAAAAAACACATTATTGCACACAAAACCCATGGCCAACAAAAGAAAAGGATGGGCAGAATCATCAGTACCACATCATCAGGCCACATGTGGGATGTAACACGGGCAGCATGTAGATCAGGGGTCTCAAACTCAATTCCCTCGAGGGCCACTCGACAAAAAATTTTCTCCCATGGGGGCCGCTCGCCAAATTTTAAACTTTAAAAGGAGAACTATGAGGGGAGTGATTTTCACTCAGCCTCATAGTTCGAGCCGACGTGTGACAAAGAAACTAACAGGTCGACTCAATAGATCGAGAAGTGAATGAACGTATACCGTCGCTCGCTCACTTCTCTACCCTGTCCCTGCAGAGAGCCGTGACTGTCAGCCACGGCTCCCTGCAGGGATCCCCCAGCGCTGACTGGAGGAACGAACGGGGGAGGGGGCGGGTACAGCTGGCTCTGACTCTAGATAGGCAGCTTTCACTCACGCAGCTGGGGGGATCTCGACAGTAATGTCGGGATCCGTCCCGGCAGCAGCGGTCTCAGTATACCACGAGCTATAACTCCCGGTATACTGAGCTTTGGGTGATGGGAGGACGCTAGTTTATATCCTCCCGTGATCCTGAGGAGAACTATGGGGAAAAGCACTTACCCCCATAGTTCTCTTTTAAAATAAAATTTTACTATATGCGATATGGTACTACGGACCCCAATACACACAATAAGGCCCCATTCATATCTGTAGGTTTAGATGCGATTAGGGATTCCTGAGCCAGAAACTCGAGTTTTCCTGCAGCAGGAATCCCTAATCTGATGTTTACACGCGGCTGCTGTCACCTATTCAAGTTAATGATCAGGTGACATCAGTTGCATGTAAATGCCTGAACACCGCATGTAATGGATGTGATATTATTACATGCGGTTAGAAAACACTCTCCCTGGATACACAATCATTGCGTCTAGGGAGAGTGATCGATTCCTAACCGAATGTAATAATATCACATATCATTACATGCGGTGTGCAGGAGTTTATATGCAACTTCTGTCACCTCATCATTAACTTGAATAGGTGACAGCTGCCGCTTTTAAAACGCCAGATTAGGGATTTCTGATGCAGGAAACGCAAGGAATCCATAATTGCACCTAAAGATACAGGTGTGAATGGAGCCTAATACTCTTTCTACACACATAAAATTCCCAATCCCTCAAACACCGCCCACATATAACAATATAATTCCCAGTCTTACCCCACCCACCCACAAGTTAAATACACAGCCCCCTCTCCAGCTTACCTTGTTGCAGGGAGGAGGCTGTGAGTGAATGTAATAAGCCTCCTCTTCAGCTTACCTTGTTGCAGGGAGGAGGCTGTGAGCGGCACCACGATCACTGATCCGTTTATCTAGTGGCGATTAGTAATGTCTGCTGCAGACATTACTAATCGAATCAATCCTTTCGGCCTGCGTTTAGCGAAGACGCCGGCCGAAAGGATCTGAGTTCCGGCACAGAAGCAGCTATGCGGTCTGCATCCGACAGAGATGCAGACCGTGTAGCTGCTCCCGCAAGTCTGGTATGTGGTCCGTGACCGTGTACCAGACTTGTGAGCGGGCTGCGAGCCACATAGTACCGGCTCGCGGGCCGGTACTTGGAGACCACTGATGTAGATAGACCAAACCTCCAATATCAAATATTCTACCTTTACAGGTGACTGATATAAAAGAGAAGGAATTTCCTTTACTTCTCACGTTATCACTTTGTTGTGGGAACATTAGGTTGGGGTTCTAAGGATGTGCATTGTTTTTTTGCATTGAAGCCAGTAAAGCATTTTCACTGTGATCAGTGGCTCATGGGTGCAATCTCTGGCTTCTGTATATTCTCCCACCAGTACCTCAATATGGACATTCAGTAACAAGGCTGGGAGGAATTGTTCATAGACAGAGTGTGGCGACGGCACCACGTTACACCCTAAATATGGATGCAACATGAAACTTAGTATAAAACAAACTTGGCCTTTAACACTAATATACCCTTGTGAACACTTCTCTAAATAGTGCCCCATGTGTACTGCAAAATATCATCTAATCGCTACATAAAAGATGCTCTCAGATTGAAGCGGTAAGGATTGTACCAGACAAATTAATTGACAGTATAAATCTCACCCCCTTTGTGCTCATACCAGCACCTACCACTTCCAGGCAGGGTTTAAAGAATATCTACTTTTGCAGAATTTCTCTTAAAGAGGAACTTTACCCTTATCTTTAAAAAAACACATACTTCTAGATAATTGCCGGCTTTGTATTCTTTGCATACCTTATTTCTCTTTTCTTCCCCAGTCTTCTGACAGTGGCCATGTTTACTAAGGGAAGATTACTAGCTCTCCTGTTACTTCCTGGATTTATGGCACGTGACCATGCACATCATCTCACCTGAGATGAGATTTCCCAGCAATGCTCTGCTGATGTTACCTTCTCAGACAGCAACACTTGGTCACATACACCATGTGTGCCAGAACTGGACCAGGAAGTAGATAAACTCTATTTGTAAGTAAATGAAAAACAGGTTTGTGTCACTAATGTATGTGAGATGATTTTAGATCAGCATGCAGAGCCGTTAAGACATTAAATTGCAGAAAACCAAGTGTCTGCTCCAGTAGCTATATGCAGCTTTGCTGCTGAGCAAATGACTTGAAGCTAGCTACAGAATCCCCAGTATTAGTAGTTACTAATAATATTATCCAATGCAGGGGCAATGGATCAAGTCAGACTAGCGATTTGTAGCTGCATATAAATATGAGTCCACTACTGCAGGGACTCTCCAGAGAAAATAGTTGCTGCAAATCTCCACTACGAAGATGCTGGTAAAAAAAAATGGCCCATAGGACAATGTCATATTGGTAATTCTGTCCCTGCTGGCAACTCACCAGTTACAGTATCGCTAAAAAAGTCTATTTCTTTTCTATTGCGGCAAATTCATACTGGGCGAACCAAGAAATAGTTTCATTTTTATTGCTCCTTAATATGCAAGGCTGTGAGCAAAGGAGAGAGGCACAGTAGAGAAGGTGTCAGTTACAGCATCGTGATTCTGCCACTGACAAGGTGTTGACAGAATCATCAGAGCAATATGTCCTTATAGCTGAACTGAGCACAAAAACTGATTCCTCAATAAGCAAAAATGCTATAAATCAATGTTGTGTACAACAAATGCCCTTGAAAACCTAACTATTACCTTGTAAAAGTAGTGGTGACTTCACTGTGCAGAGTGGAGTAGTGAGAGAGACACAAAGGCCACCTACTATAAGGCTGTCTGCAGATACCTACAGGAGTGGACGGGTTCAAGACCAGTCACCCAGTACGAGGAGAGAGCATCAGTGACCAGTCTTTATTACAGGAAGCTTCTGCACAGAAGGTTACAGGTGCATTAGAGCAGAGATCTGGAACGCACATGACTTTTGTATTTAGGCAATATTTGCTTATCCAAGAGTTCAGCTTTAGGTCTGCACTGAAATCCCGGCCAGTAGGAACCTTAACAGAAGCTGGAGAACTTTGCTCTACCATAGAGAGAGTACAGGTCCCTTTCAATCTACATGATTACTTATCAAACAGTCCTTGCCCAACACATCACAATCGTACACACACCCATACACACTGCCTGGCCAAAAAAAGTCACAAACATTTCATTGGACCACATTTAGCTTTGATTACAGCTCACATTCACAATGACATTGTTTCAATAAGCTTATGCAATGTCACAACATTTCTGTATCTTGTAGTGAGTTTGTGAGAGTAGGACCACTGTGTAAAGTCTTCTCCAGCACATCCCAAAGATTCTCAATGAGGTTAAGGTCTGGACTCTGTGGAGACCAATCCATGTGTGAAAAATGTTCATCTCATACTCCCTGAACCACTCTTACAATTTGAGCCCAATGAATCCTGACATTGTCATCTTGGAATATGCCTGTGCCACCAAGGGAGAAAAAATCCATTGATGGAGAAACCTGGTCTTCTGTATATTCAAGTAGGCAGCCAACCTCATTTTTTGGGACATAACATTGCTGAACCTAGACCTGACCAACTGAAGCAACCCCAGATAATAACACTACCCGATATCCAGGTGGTGACTTTTGGCCAGGCAGTGTACATTCCAGGGCTTTCTGAGGCAGGATGCCAATTAGCCATGTTTTTGGAATAAAGGAATAACTTAAATACATGGAGGAAATCCACTGCAGCATTAGAACTCCATGATGCAGAAAGGATCATAATGGAACCCAGGACCTCGGTAACAAACCACCATTGTTACTCACTGCACATCAAACCTGCAAATTATTCATCACTCAACTCCCACAACACAGCATCGTTTCTAAACGTAATAGACCATAAAGTCTATGTCTGCAGCAACACAAAGTGGCAAATACTGAAAGCTCAACTGAAGCTAAAACTTGTCTTTTTTAGTTGTGGATAGAGTAGAGAGGGATTAGAACACCCGCCAGGTTTTTATTGCTGTCTGTCCCTGTTACAGAGATTCACCCCCCCTCCATTTGTTCTGGTGACCATGATTACTAAAGGTGAAAGAAAATCCCAAATTTAGGGTTGTCAGCAGAACAGGAGGGAAATCTTCCAATGGGGACACAAGTTCTGCTGACCACCAGGGATTTCATCTCACTCTGCTATCACTATCAGACAGGAAGTGAAGGGAATTCTCTACCATTGGACATTGGACCAGGGGGGGAAAAGCTGTAAGGGATTATAACCCTCCTTTACTCTATCCAAAACAAAAGTTTGGGTTTAGTTCTACTTTAAAAAAAAAATCACTGAAGATTCACGGAGACAAAAATACATTTTCAGAAAGCATTGAACATACCTTGCTGGGGTGGATACCGACATGGACAGTGGTGCCGTTGGCCTTCTCACGCTGCACACGTTCAATGTAGATGACGTATTTTTTTCTGTACACCTGGACAACCTTGCCAATTTGCTGGCCTTTGTAGTGTCCACGTACAACCTACAAAAGCAAGGAAGGGTTAGTCAATACCAGGTTATTGAAATATGAAAATGGCAGGCAGGAGGAAAAAAAAAAAGAGGGTCTGTCCCAGCTGTCTGGCAGCAGTCACCATATACAGATATCGCTCCAATTCAGATAAGTCCATCTACATGCCCATCACAATCCCTTCACACACAGGTATGAAGGAAGTCTCAGGGGAAGGCACAAGCTGGAGCACATTATGTCAGTTTTTATCTTGGTCACAGATGTCACAAATATCTTATGCTGTTGTGTAAACTGCAATATGGAAACAGTGTTGTAAACATTCTACTGTACTTCAGTGAAACTGACCCTCACAGATATATTATACATTAGCGGTTTACTCCTAGAATTAAAAAAAATGGGGTAAAGATTTCTGACTGGCCTTCTATAGGCGTGCTCGCCAAATGCTTGTGTTGAACTTTGCATTTTGTGTAGACACAGACCAGCCCTACTCTCACAATGCAGATAACCCTACCAGGAAATTCTGGGAGCCCTCTAACAGCGTACCTGTACTTCATCATCCTTGCGGATGGGCATAGAGCGGACGTTGTACTTTTGTCTCAACTCCTTGGAGAGGGGAGAGGACATAATCTTTCTACGGACATGTGAGGGAGCATTGAAGTGCCTTTTGCGATTCTTGCTTCTGTCAGAGGTAACAAACGGACTGAACTTCATGATGCCTAAAAGGGGGGAAAAAACAAGAGCCATTAGTATGATCCCAATGTGATCAACACAACAAGATACCTTCTATAGCCCAGCATCACCACTCCTTCACAAGAGAATGGCCAAGCCAGCATCAGCAGTAACTCTCAGAAAGTAGTCCAGTCACACACCGCAAGCTTTGCTGAAAAAGTTCTTATAGCACACAGGTACACAACATCCCACCTCCTCTTTACTCTTGACATGTTTCACGCAATAATGGGCCTAGTCATAAAGATCATAGCTTCAACTATAAGTCTATAGTGTGAACTCGATGGACTTGTGTCCTTTTTTCAACCTGGCTATGTAAGCCCATTATTGGGTGAGGATCCACGGCGGGGTCATGTGTACCTGTGTGCTAGAATACATTTTTAAGTGACGCTTGCGGTGTGTGAGCAGACTTCTTTCTGTGAGCAACTGCAAACACAGCAAGCCGTTACATACACATCCAAATCTAGTTTGCAAACGAATAAGAATACATGATACATAGAGAAGGGCTGACTGTGTGTATACCTGACACACCATCAGAAATCATTTAAGAACCCCTGTCAGCTCCCTAAACAAATCCAAAGGGCAATCTCCGGCATTAGAACGGTGGCCATATCTCCATCAGGAATGTCGGATACCCATGTTCTCAGCCATGCACTGTGGTTCAATCCTCTGATCACCTGTTGAGTCCTGTATTGATGTAGGGGGGAGGAAATTAAACCACAGCGCTTGGTAGGGGACACAGGCATCTGTCGCTCCAAGAGGGTTGAATGCTAAACAGAGGGAAGGTAGGCATATAGGGTCACAAGGGGGGGAAGTATAACCCCCCCTATTGCAGGGCACTGTTTACATTTCTGAAGAGAGCAGAGTCCCCAATATAAATTTGCTATCTGCAGTAGATGTAAAGGAGACATCATGTACATGTGTGGTGAGCTTCCGATGAAATCTGTCAGGTCAACGTGACCAGTTTTAGTTTTACCAGGAAACTTCCATGCAATTTAAAGGCCTGGAAACACATTCTTTGTTATGTAACATTCTATTACCACAAACAATGTTTTGGATCCGTTTAATCTGCTCATGTATGACCACCGTTACAAGAGGGCATGTTACGTGGCTGGATAGGGAGACACACCATTCAAATACCTAACAACCAACCCCTAAACCGAATGATGCCCTCAGACATGTGTAGCCCTTATTACACCTTGTCACCAAGAGTTTGATCAGCGAGCTGATTGCTAGCTCTGCACTACAGGACCGAGATCCCCGTGTCACTGACAGTCAGATCTCAGCCACGACACACCGTGCAGGACACCAGCAGCCTCTATGCCCCGGTGAAACGCCAACCGTGAAGGAAGGAGAGATCCCCGGTCATTCTATAGGCACTAGATTCGCATTACATTGCCAATATCCGCCCTAACAACATTTCCGAATGCCCCTCTGTTCATTACCGGAGGAATAATACATGAACAGGGCAATCGGGGAGAGGATGACAACGGATTCTAATCCATATTGGCCCCAGAGCTCCTTACCGAGCCGCACAGTCCACTATGGCCGCCGGAAAAGAGAACTAGCAGCGACTTCCGCTCACATTAGTGGCCTGAACACTTCCCGCGAGATGACGGAGCGGCCTGTGAACCGGTGTGAGTGAGAGGTGGAGACACCCAGTGGCGCCATGTGGTATTACACGCTGAAGTGCAGCTAGACTTTTCCCATAGCCACAACCGTACTAATATATTTCTGAGTACATAGGGCTGCAGTCTTCCGTGTTGGGTTTGACTAAACGCTGCTGTGGGGATCCCCGCAATGTTCATGAATTCTCTATTTTGTTCATTGTATTTTGTATCATTTTTAATTCTTTTAACATTTTCTATTATTATAAAGTTATTTTGCTGCTGAGCCATAAGATATCAGCCAGCTGCATGCAGTATGATCTCACAGGACCACAGGCTATTATATTCGATATTATTATAACACTTACAAAAAAATGTTATCCAATATTATCATTACATTTATGGAAAATTTGTATCCCATAGTATTTATATTATGCTTACAAAAAAGCACCAATTTCATGACAATCCAAATATGTTCATTGTTAGTACCAATGTGGGTGACAAATTTAGGTAGTTTGTTTTTGCGTCACTTTTACTGTATGGCTGCAACAAATTTATAAAGAAATATGGCCATGCTAGCAATAAGGAAATTGGCGGTAAAGACAGCGATGTGTGCCAGCTGTCTGAATACAATAGCTGGCAGGGAAGATACTGGTTAGCATGGAGGGGGAAAGCAAGTCATTTTTTTTTGTATATTACTGCTGAGCTGAACAAGAGAGAAATCTGTGTATGGCAAGTTTTAGTGCACTTTAATCCTCTCTGCCCCAACCACTCTGCTGACCTAAAATAAGCCCCTTTCCCCCACCCAAGATTCTTACTTACATCCTGCAGTGGTGACATCCTGGCCCTGCCTACACAGATGATACCCATTAGCTTGCAAAGACAGTCCCGGTCAGGAGAGAGAAAGGAGAACCGTACTTTATGTGAAAATGTACTTATGCTTTAAAGGAGAAACATAGGCCACCATTGTTGACCTCTCATGAAAATTATACTTTTCTGGCCATCCTGCTTACGCAATGGCTTTAGATGCTATCAATGTGCTATCAGATGCTGTAAATCTCTTTATTTTACTCTACTTTCTTATAATCAACACTATTTGTTCTACAATGTTAGTTTGAAACTGTAACACTTAGGGTAGAGAAGACATTAAATACTGAAATTCCATATTAAGGCTTGATAAAAATCCAAGAACCAAGCTCTTACCTCCAAAACGATGGTGTCAAGCATAGTTACACAGTTACATAGTATTTGAGGTTGAATAAAGACTTAAGTCCATCAAGTCCAACCTATTGTGTGTGTGCATTTCTGTTTGAGTTGGTGTGTGAGTGTATATGAGTCCATGTATGATTTTACTCCTAGGCGTACCTGTACCCCAGTATATTATGGTCTCCGAGGAACTCGTCCAGGAGTTTCTTGAATGATTCCACACTCTTAGCTGAAATCACTTCCTGCGGCAGCGAGTTCCAGACCTTAACCGCTCTAACTGTGAAGAACCCCTTGCGCCCTGTGTGTTGAAATTTTTTTTCAACCAATTTTTGGTTGTGCCCTCTGGTCTTTGTTACGGAGCTAACCGTAAACAGTTTGTTGATAATGTTGCTGTCACCCTTGAATAGTTTATACAGGAAAATCATCCCCCCTTAACCTCCAACGGGAACATATTTAATTTTAACAACCTTGTTTCATAGCTCAGGTCCTCGAACCCCTTAATGAGTTTGGTTGCTCTCCGCTGGACTTTTTCCAGCTCAAGGACATCTTTCCTGAGTATCGGTGACCAAAACTGGACCGCATACTCCACATGTGGCCGAACCAGTGATCTGTAAAGTGGCAAAATTATAGACTTGTCTCTGCAATATATTCCCTTCTTAATGCAAGACAGGACACTGCTTGCTTTGTTTACAGCAGCCTGGCACTGCAAGCTGTTCTTCAATCTGCGGTCTATTGTGACCCCCAGAGCCTTCTCCGTTTCCGACTTCCCTAGTGGCACACCCATAAGTGTATAGACCATTTGCCTATTTTTAACTCCAAGGTGCATTACCTTACATTTATCGACATTGAACTTCATCTGCCATACAGTTGCCCACTCCCCGATTTTATCCAGGTCCTCCTGTAATGTTATAATGTCTAAATCTGTGTCTACTACCCTCTCAATTTTCGTATCATCAGCAAACACTGAGATATGACTTCTCACTCCCTCCCCTATATAATTAATAAATAGGTTAAAAAGCATGGGGTCGAGCACCGAACCCTGGGGTACGCCACTCATGACCTCAGCCCAGTCTGAGAAGGTGCCATTTACTGATACTCTTAGTATACTCATTTACTGATACTCTTGTATAACAAGCGTTTATGTGGCACTGTATCAAATGCTTTGGAAAAGTCCAGATTTACTACGTCCACCGTCCTCCCTCCATCTAGAGCTCTACCCACCTCTTCGTAAAAGGTCAGCAGGTTGGTCTGGCAAGAATGATCCTTCCTAAATCCGTGCTGTACCTCACTTATTATACCATGATCCTGGACGAATTCTACTAAGTAGTCCTTAATAATTCCTTCTATCAGTTTACACACTATGCATGTTAGACTAACTGGTCTATAGTTCCCCGGTTGGCATTTTGACCCTTTTTTGAATATAGGTACCACATTAGCCCTTCGCCAGTCGCTTGGCACTCTACCAGCCATTACGGATTCCTTAAAAATTAGGAACAATGGTATCGTTATCTCCTTGTTCAGTTCTTTGAGTACCTTGGGATGCAGATTATCAGGTCCTAATGCTTTATTTGCATTTAGTTTAAGCCTATGTTGTATCCCCGTTTCAGTCAACCACTCAGGTGTATTTCTTTACATTTTGTGTTTTATCATGTACATTGAACCCGTCTGTTTGCTTGGTGAATACCGACGAGAATAAAGTCTTAAGCGCCTCGGCCCTCTCCCTGTCGTTTGTGATTAACGTCCCATTTATGTCTTTCATTGGGCCTATCTGTTCCTTTCTCCCCTTTTTACTGTTTATGTTCTGATAAAAAATGTTTGGGGTTCTTTTTACTAACTTCGGCAATGTATTTCTCACATTTGAATTTAGCTGCCCGGACTACCAGTTTACATCTTTTATTACTTTCTTTGTAGTTTCTTTTACTTTCTGGTATTACAAGCTTTGGTAAATACTTTGGTTTATTAGTTATCTTGCCCAAGTCTGGTTTGCTGCCTCTACACAAAACACAAAAATTCCCCAGCCTCAACCTGCCAGCCAGCCTGCAACCAAACAAGTAGCCCTGTCAACAGTATGCGTTAAAATCAGAGGTTTTAGTTGCACAAACTTTTGGCCAAAAATATGTAGAAGCCACACTGCCGCGCCAAGGCACCTCTGCAAAGTGTGGTCCTAACTCTATGTATCTGAGTCTCCAAGTGTGAGCATATTAATGAAGTCGATAGATTGCATGCAGGTGTACCTGGAGGTAGCCAACTCCTCCTAATAAGGTGCAGGGACGCACTGGGGGCCCAGCAACCAAAAATGCACGCTGGGACCCCAGTGCATCCCCCAAACCAAAAATAGTCAAACTAGAAAAAAGTGGTACATGCATGAATCTATAACCGGCCTTTATAGCAGGGAGCACATTGGGAAGACTTACAACAATACAAAACACAAAAATTCCCCAGCCTCCGCCTGCCAGCAACCAAACAAGTAGCCCTGTCAACAGTATGCGTTAAAATCAGAGGTTTTAGTTGCACAAACTTTTGGCCAAAAATATGTAGAAGCCACACTGCCGCGCGGCATAACGCATACTGTTGACAGGGCTACTTGTTTGGTTGCAGGCTGGCTGTTTAGCATCTTCCTAATAAGTAAACTCTCAAAGGCTCTGCCTTAAACCAAGTAAATCTTATGAGATAGTTCATAATGGACAAAGAACTTTACAACCAGGACTTTAGCCACAGTAGAGGCCTTTTGATCTTTCATCAGGAAAGCATGGATATCAGGTAAAGTGGTCAGTCACCATTAAGATGTTCCCCTGTCCACTTATATCAAGCTCCAAGCACAATAAATCAACATCATGAGACCTTGACTTTAAAGGTGGCCCATTGGTGCACCTATTGTGGGCAGAGTCTTCCAAATCACATTTCAAACATGAATATCAGTAACTCTCAATCTCAGTTCTCATATAAGGCCACTAGAACCTATGTCTGACTAGCTTGAAAGCCCTCTCTGGTCCTAGACTACTGTGTTCATTATGTAGGGCCATTGCCCCTATGTTTCCCACGAAGGAATAGATGCGTTTTGTCTTCAACATCAACGGGAACCCTAAAAAGATCTATCTGCTGTGAAGCTAGACTATTTCTTTGTAAATCAGCCTGGCTTCCTGTGGGTAATCTAGCAGCAAAAGCTCTGGCTGGCAGCTTTCTAGGGCATCCAGAGTCAGATGATAAAAGGGGTCCTTTTCACTAAGGGTGGCCAGGTCTCCATCTCTCACTTGGCTCAGATTGCAGTAGAATTATAGGACCCCTGCAATAGTAATCCCAATGGCCCTGGCCCCCATCGCTCCACAGGCTCAATGTTCAGCCATACAGGGCTTGGATTCCCTACAGCGTCAGTTTAGTCCATTCCTCTTCTGGAGCTTTCGCATTGTGTGGCCTACAGAGCATTAGCATCTCTGTTCCCAGCTCTGGGTCAATACTTGAAGTTAAAGTGCAATCCAGACAGTGCTGCAAACTAGCAATATCCCGTGGCGTCTAACTTGATAGTTATGAGGATGAAGGTGTGTGCATCATTGTCCGTATTAACTTGAATTCTCCCCAATATGGGTAATCTTTCAGCTTGTCTTCCACTAACCATTTGCTTGTAAGTGGGATAGTTCTTTTAGATAGGGGGGAGTCTTTGGCTCACATGTCGCTGACAACAGGTCTCAGATGCTCATCATGCTCTTGATACAACACTCTATCGAGTCCCTCTCTACTTGCATCCACGTGTAGTTCATAGGGCCAAGCAGGGTCAGCATAGGCCAAGACAAGATTGTTC